ACTACTACTACCTACTACACCTACTAGTACTGCTACTACTACTACTACTACTACTACTACAACGACTACTACTGCTACTACTACCACCACCACCACCACCACCACTACTACTACTACTACTACTACTACTACTATTACTAGCTAATATTGTTGCGACGACCACGGCCTCATCTACTACTCCGACTACTACTCCTACCACCCTTACCCCTACGCCTACCCCAACTCCCTCCTCTCCCTCCTCCCACTCCTACGACTCCTACTCCTACTACTACTCCTGCCACTCCGACACCTTCTCCTACTCCTACTTCTTCTCCTGATGCTGGCTCCGGCTGCGACTGCTGCTTTTGGTACTCTGCTGCTGCTCCTGCTGCTGCTGCTGCTACTGCTACCGTCACCGCTGCCGCTACGGCTACCGCCGCTGCTGCTGCTGCTGCTGCGGCAGCTACTGATGCCATTGACTGCTACGACTGCTACTAATGTATTAGATATAGTGACACGATTTCAGGATCATCGTTGCTACGTTTTGGTCTCATCGTTAAAGCGCTTGTAGGCATTTCTGCCTCATGCTTCCTTTGTCAGCAGGGTCTCCAAGATCGCAGCTCCTGGAAAGATGCGGGCCGCCCTCCTCCTGGAGGCCTGTTGCCAGCATGCATTTGTAACTGCATGTCTTTGGTTGTACTGATGCACTGTATCCGTATCCCGAATCAGGTAATTCACTTTGCGGTGGCCGGCGACGCCGTCATTGACTTCAGCTCCGCCACCTCTGCATACGTTATTCGACCAGGCCGCACCACGTAGTTGCAACGGAGCGCGACAAAGTTGGACAACCGAACGGCTCTGCTTGGCAAAAGCGCTGCTGCAAGGATGGAGTTTCAAGGTCGAGGTCTTCGGAAGCAATTTCGATTACATCAACGTGGCCGAACTCAGTCTTTAGCAGGCTAAACAGGTCAGTTTTCTTCATGTTCGTGCGACGTGAGTTCCGAAGCAGACGTCACAAGGACAAGATCCTCCTGGTCCCGACTGGCATTGCATGTGGAGATCCAGCAACTCCTCCGAGAGGCAGCTGCTGGGCAGCTGGCTCAAGCCGGATTTAGCACTTGTGTCGCAACCTCGGCGACAGGAAAGTACTCCACTGTGGCCGACTACTACAGCTTGGTTTGTGATGGGCAGAGCAGCGCTCGAAGCTCAGGGGTTCATTCACTCCTGTGTTCCTGAGCTCCGAGATCCCCAGGCAGCCGGGAGATTGGTCTGTGAGGACTTGTCTGTGTACCAGGCAGGTAAAGGTAAAGGCGCTTGAATGGCGAGGTGCTGAGGGCTGTAAGTCCTTCAGCTGCAAGGCGGGCACTTACACTATCTGTGTCTGCGACGCCACCGCGATGCACCGTCCTGGGCCACCAAGTTCAGGCTGGTGGTGGTTCGGACGAGACAGCACTGTCTTCGTCAACTAGGTTAGCACTCTCGCATGCCACACGCTTGCTTGGACTAACTTTGACTGTCTGGGCCGTGTCTACGGGACTCAGGAGGCCCCGCAGGGAACAGCACAGCAGATGATGGGTCAGCGGTTACTACGACTACAATGACCTCCACATCGCCCTTGCCTCAGCTACCGTGGTCGTCAATTCCATCATCGCTCCTGGTTTCCGCCTCCATGAGGACTGCAACATCTCTCCCATGCATCACAGCTGAGAGATTTTGGCTCGGCTCTGCGTCTCGGCCGTGTGCAAGTAGACGGCAGACTGAGTCTGAGTATGAGAGCCGCTTGCTCTAATGTTGCTTGCGCTTTGCTAAGGATTCCACGGGGACAGTAACTGTGAATGGCCCGAGGACCGACTTCTGGGTGCTCGCAGCGCTGAGTTTCCTGATGTTTCCTTCGGAGGAATGAGGGAACGCTGATCGAGCGGGCAGGAACGCCTTTCCGGTTGATCCTGCAGGGCACCAGGCGCATGCTTTCGGCATGAGAGCTGCGTTGAAGTCCTTTCATGTTCTTGGGTGTCCTCCAGTTTCTGTGATCCTGGCAGTTTAAGCAGCAGAGATCGAGTCCGAATCACAGACGGCTCGACCGACTGCTTTGCCGGGCACTTGCGAGATGGGTTTTTCCAGGGGTTGTCAGCACAGCTGCCAGACCAGCTCTAGGTCGCTTCTTGAATATGTGCTTTTAAGGAGGTCTCAAAATCACGAAGAGTGTGAGATGCTTAGACAGCTTTCGCATCCTGAGGACCTCGCAGCATCCAAACCGATGCACCCTGCGGTGGATGCCTCAATTATGTCAGCTCCAGGTCCTGCACACGAGCAACTACAAGCACCATTCTTCATGAGGTCTGTGTGTGGAGAGTTTGTGAAAGTTGCTTGTTCAAGAGCTCAGGGTCGCATCCTTCCTCGATTGGAAGCGATCGATTATTGGGTTTAGGATGTGAGTGAAGGCTGTGCGCGTCTTCTTGCCTCGAGGTTGCAACAGATTTTCCATACGAAGACCCGTCGGGTCAAAGACGCTCTGGCTCTGCTTCGCAAGAGCACCTCGACTGAAAGGCAAGACGCTCCAAGGTAAGAGAGCGGAGGGTATGTGTGAACAAGCAAAGGCACAAGAGCAAAAGATAGACAGACAGACGGACGGGTGCGCAAACAGACCGACAGACGGAGACAGACAGTGACAGACAGGGAGGGATAGGGACGGACAGAGACAGAGGGACATAGACACAGACCAAAATTATAGAGAAATAAACAGAGCCTGTGACAGAGACGGAAAGGCAGACCATGCCGGATTACATTGCAAGCAAAACCTATCACATGTTGTAGATTTAGGGAGCGAGCACTCCTCCGGATCGTGGTCGGAGAGCTTACCGCCTCGCTGAGTTAGAGCGCCGGAGGCTTGTCTAAGGGTCCAAAGGTTCGGCTTGAAGACCTGCTTGCATACCATAACCACCTCACCCTTGCTGTCTCTGATTTTTCGGAGATGTGTTCGCATACTCCAAACTTGCAGTCAATACTTTTCCGACTCTTTATAGTAATTAGGGCGCGGCCCGCCCCTACGGTTGATAATATAAATCCTGCATGAGCTTAAGGACCCTAAACTATGGGAATTATGGTATATTCCTTACTATGGGCAAAGCAGGATTGATATCATCAACCGTAGTATCACCACTTTCGTGTATGGTAGCCGGGTCGGAGAAGCTCTGAATCCCAAGGATCTGGGAGAACATCGGAGTGACGGTGCCCGGAACCTACCAGGCGGCCGAGAGAAGCGGCTTTGTGGGTTGGGGCATCTCGGGGGCGTCGGATCGACTGAGGGTCTCTAGGAGATTAAGGCTTAGAGCAATTTGGGGGTTTGGGACACTGGCGGAGATGTTGAGTTCGAGAACGGTGCACTGCAGATTTTGCTAGGTGACTTTTGGGGTTTATGGTACGGTTCGCTTCTTAAGGTCCTTCCATCCGTGAGCCTGGCCAGGTCTGTTGGTGTTCGGCCGGTGGGACGGTGTCAAATAGCTGCAGCGATGACCAGGAGTTCACAACGAATGCCGGTTGCATAGAATGCCGCGCTTGCTGGAAGCACTTTCCATGTACAGTCCAGGGACGCAGTGCGCGCAGAGACAATAAGCGCTGTCGAGGTTGCAACTCTGGAAGTGGGTGGGCCTACAGCAGGTGTTATCCAGGCCATGCAAACCCTCTTGCACGGCACCGCGTCCGAAACCGTGCAGTGGCGAGCTTCTGTCTTGCAACCTCGCAGTCTTTTGCGTGCATCACCGGTGTCCGGCACTCAAGTCATGAACCTGCTCTCCCTGCACTTCTTGCCGGACTGCGCATTCTTTGTCAAAGCAGGTTGCCTGCACGCTTGAAATGACCGGATCAGGCTTGGCTTCTGTGGCTGATGGTGGAAGGAATGGATTCTCCTGACTGCGCTCGTGCTCTGCAGGCCTGAACAACAATGACCGCATCATTATCATCGCCGATCATCTGGAGCCGGGATCTTAGGCTTCATGCGTCGGCCCGCGGTGTCGCCAAGATGGTACTGTAGATCCACGGCTAGCGGTGCAGGTGTGGCTTTGCTCCACAGTCCAGCGCTGTAGTTTCCGGGGGTGATTTCGCCAGCCCCCGAACAAGTGGATCTGTCCAGTCCTTGGACTCTGAAGTGCCGGCAATGTAGGAAGGCAGCAGTGGCTGAGCTACTAAGGACACTCTATCTCGATTTGGTGGCATCATCATGGGCCGGCATGGTGACTTCAAAGTTTGTTGGTGTGGCAGCCCTTGGCTGAGTCTCTCAGAAAGTGAGCAGAGACCCTCTGTCGTCTGGCGCGGTTTTGGGAAGGTTACGACGAGATCAAGTGCCCAACATGCTGCACGCAAATGGAGGAGTACACAGTCTATGCTGGCAACGTCTCCAGTGGCGGCCCGAACCAAGGCCGGGCCAGTTGCAAACCCGAAGAGAGGTGGAAAAGGCGGTGGGGACGGATCTGCCCTGATGCCTGCAGGTCAAATTGACCGGCCACCGATCGGCGTGCCTGGAGCCCTGTGGGAAATAGCAGATACTGTTTTTCGGTGCCCAGTCCGTTCTTCGAAGCTTGCCCGTCAACCTGCTCCGGGTTTTCGTCAGGCCCTTCGCGTACACCATTTCAGGATGGGGTATGAGCAGCAATGACAGGAGCACTTGCCCGATAGATTGATTGCAGTGTTGGAGCATGGCTGAAGCATGACCGGCTTCGGCTACGATTCGACACGAGGATACGGATCGTGGACCAAACAGTCCGCTGCGGGCGGGCTGGCGCGGAGACACAGTCGGCGACCTACTGGATGACTCGCTCCAGTTTGCTGGCATTGACGGTTATTTCCTGATGTGCCGAGTTCCCTTGGCATCGAAGCCAGCACCGTGCCCAACGGACTGCATCTGCAAAGCTCTGAGTTCCGGCTACTGAGCTGTGCTGTTGCCAGGACCTCCGACGTACACGGAGGGCTCAGACCCCGCCAACCGTACCAGTGCGAGCTGGACTGACATCGTGGCCTCATGCCCAGCTAAGTCCTTCGTAATGTAATTCGAGGTGCACTTTCACGGTCCGTGTTGCTGATTGCTGCGAAAGTGTGGCTGTGGCTGAGCTGCTGAGGCCCGGGAGATGCGAACCTTGGACTGACAGAGTTCGTGCGGAATGCTCCGGAAGTCGAAACGATGCTGCTGATCAGGATCGTATCGGGTGTGTTGGTGTGCTCACTTCTTCATGGGGTGCACTGATGGTGCCCATTTTGCGCCAGTGTCTCAGTGGGTTCTCGGAGTCCATGGGCACGAAAACCAGCACTGTGTTGAGGTTGGACATCGGCATCATTAACCCCAGGGGCGCTTCCAACTCGACCTACATCAATGCTATTCCTGGGCGTGGGGGCCTTACGGAGTATGGTCATTGTATTCAGCTGTAAGCTGCATGCCCAGCACCACCTTAACCCTGACTGCCTTCCGAGCAGTCCGTCCGGCGACTTTTTTGCAGGCCCCTTTTCCCTAACCGTCACTGCGGCAACGGGCTCCTATCTCACAGCGGACGACCGCATCAGGAGTGTGGGCATAGATCTTCACGCCGAGCGGGCTGAGTGGGGGCGTGCAGCATGAACTTATGCACGCCCAGCCAATCTCGCAGGATTGTCCGCTCTGAATTGCGCAGAGCTTGGTCGATCTGTTGCGAGTTATCCCGGTCGCGAGTTATCCGGCGAAAAGCAGCTGGGCTGAGCGGCTGAGGTCGGATGGCAGGTGTGGAGGCTTCGGCACCGCTGCGGCTGGCCAAGTTCAAGCCTGGGGTTATTGCGACCATGGAACGCAAACGTCAGAGCCGAGGAGCATTCGCCCGCAGTTGCGGCTTTGGCGTGCTGGCCTACGTGCATAGACTCACCAGTGTGGGGAGCCTGCCTCTGAGCTGGAACTGCAGAACACCAACAGCGACCGAACACCTGGCAAGCATGCTACGCGGTACTAAGCGAAGCCGAGGCCCCTGAGATGGGCCCAGACAATGAATCCCAGAGCTGGGATCCGGTGCTGATCATGGAGAGCCTCCGACTCGGACAATTCTAACGCACACGGTTCTTCGTCTCAGCGAGCAGACGTCCAGGTGGGACCTACAACATTTGCTGGTGTAACTCCGGTCAAGGCCTCGCCTGTGTCGGGGATGTAGCTGGCCAGCTCTTTTCAGCTGGGGCCGTGCCAACACTGCACAAATGAAGTTGAAATTGGGTGAGACAGATTTAAGCTGTCAGGGCAAGGAGATAAATTGAATCTGGTGGCTGAGCACAATGAATTTTTCTCTCTCCCACCGAGCACACGGATTGAACCACTTGCTACGCTCTGCGAGGTACCCTATTGCCGTTGACCTTTCACGCTTACCCCCATGCTTCGCCCGTAAGAGCACGAATCACTAGAATCACACCCAAGGCAACCCTGCGCCTTTACCTCATCCCAGCGAAACGATTGAGAGCTGAAGTCAGAAACTTAGTTCCCTCCCTGACAAACTCTCCTACCCTTCATCCTCAAGCATGGCTTTGCATACTTCAGATCGCCGTCACCAAGTGCTCGAATGTTCAAGCTTCGGTTGAGTGTTAGAAGGTCGCCCCAGCATAAAAAGTCAGCATGCTAATTTCAAGGGTTGCTTAAGCCCAGCAGAAAGCCCAGAAGAAGAAGCCCGTCTTTGCCGAAGCTTCTTCGCATCAGTTTAGGTTTCTCCGACCTGCTCAGGGTCTCGGTTTCTTGCCAGCACATGTGGCAGGCGGTTGCGACAGTGACGAGGACTTCTCATTCCGTGCCGGTAACCGTGCAGCAGGAAGAGGATTCAGAATCACGTGTGGCCCTGCGCCAACTGACGCACAAAAGGAGGTGCAGCAAGCCCGATCTTTGTGAGAATTTGGAGCACCGCAATGAGATGAAATGCCTTTGGATCCGTGTAGAAGCAGGGGCAGAATTGTGTCACTGGCAACAGCGTTTCTGGTGCATTTCAACCTCCATGTCTCAGACGGCTGGCTTGAGATGAGGCATGATCATGGCGAATGGAGTGCCTGAGCCTAAGCAAGATGCTATGTAGCCTAACCCGCCCATGTCTTGATAGGACGTCTAGATGCCAAGGAACATCGGTCAACACTGGCATTGTGCAGCCTACTTCCCTTGCACTGTCGAAATCGAGAAGTCAGGCAGCCTTTGGGTCGATTTGCTCCTAAACCGCTATCACGTTGTGCTCTGACATATGGCCAGTAGCACAGGCATGATCTGCAGGGCGCTGCGGTGAAATGTTCTCGCCCTCTAGACTCGGACGTTTACTTTCGGGTGTGCGAGATCTAGAAGACCAGCCAGCATAGTCGGGGTGCTAGCGGCCAAGACCGGTCTAATGCCTACGTCTCTGTCACTATAAGTTCATTTTGCATGCCGGATATCCAAGAAGCACGTACAGAAGTCGAATCTGCAGAGTCATTGCGAGCTTTGGTTGGCAGATGGCCTTGCCTCTGGGGATTACCTGCAGTTGGTCGCTGCTGCTCCCGGTTGCAGTCTTAAGATGAGCATCTGGACAACCCTGTGAAAACCACTTGGCCACGACAGCATGGTAAGGTGCCCGCTGTGGCGTAGACAGTAGAGCAGCCGCCACGAGCTTCACGAGGGGTACGAGGATCAGTGGATACGAGGGTGCAGCCGGCATGGTTCTGCTTTGATGTCGAAAAGTTCAGGCCAGGCTCCCGGCTGCCAGGAAGAGACACCACTGGGCAAGACGTCGTTCTCTTCGAGTTTGGCTCCCCACAGGCATGAAGGGGCCGGTCCATGGGAGAGACTGACACCATGAAGCGTCACTGCTGCGTCAACTGGCTGACTATCATGCAGTAGCACCTTCAGAAGCCGCTTGAAAAAGGCAACTCTGCTGCAGGCTCCCGGCATCTATCTTGCCTGCTACTGTCAAGGATCAGTGGAGGTCTCAGCTGTCGTTGACTGGCCAGGTGCAAAAGTGCCTTTGTGTGCGAACATCTGTTGATCCATTCCGGCTGAGATCTGCAGAACAAGTTCGGCGACAGACCTCGACTTCTTCCAGCAAGCCGGGCAGGCTGCATGCATGCAAATTCCCTTTTGTGATCCGACATCTGAAATTTATCGGTCTATCGGACCAGTTGCAGTGATCCGACACAGCCCTTCGACCGTCGACTTGCGACAGTCCGCCGACTCCGAGGTCACTGTAATGGGACTTCAGGGGCGTGATGATTATCACAAATGCTACCTGCCCCTTCCTGAGTATGTTGCCGAGACTTCTGCTGGGTGGATGCTCATCCACTGGGGTCCAAATAGCCATCTGACAGCTAAGGAGAGGCGCGTGCAGACTGAACATACGAGGTGCAGGACTAGACGTTCAGGATGCCATCTGCCAAGGGAGCTCCTTTACCTTTCGCTTCGTTGCATGTTCTCTCGATGCCGGTCATCGTCCCAGGCCGTGATGCTCTTGGATCCGATGGACAATTGCGGACAAACCGGCAGCCCAGTGAGTTTCAGCCTTGATGGGCAGGGAACCCAGATGACACAGAGGCAGGTAACGTGTCTTTTGCTCCATAGTTTGAAAGCGCCAATCGCTGGCACCGCTCAGGCCGCGATTCTTCACGGCCGGAGGGGACAGGCTGCAGCCCTGGCTGTGGACCCTTTTTTTTTTGTGTGCGTGTGGGCTAGCGCGCGATTGGTGTCTCTGTGCAGAAGGCTTTTCATTGGCAATCTCACCTCCACGAGCAACGAAGGCCCGGATCCCATGAGGGTCAGGACAGGAGCCACTGCTCCGAGCGTAGCTTTGACCTACTTCTGGGGGCGAAGCCGCCTGCAACAGGCCTTGAGAGTTGGACTTTTGACCTTGGCACTCCGATTCGAACTGGGAGACATCGGCTGCAAGGCTCTTAGAAAGAAGCAGATGGGTGCTCCACATTCTCGGGCGGAGTATGCCAGACATCGTGTTGTTTGCTCCTATCATTGAGGTGTTACTGCAGCCGGGGCCGAGCTAGCAGCGGAATGTGCGAGAATCGCGCAGACTTCGACCAAGCTGCAGGCAGGTGTTCGCAATCGTGGCCGGTCCGTGAAGTAAGACGAAAGCGACCTCTGTCACGATCTCCCCGACGTGCGAAGAGTTCAGGCGAGCTCTTCGTTCGCGGGTCAGAGTTCAACTCTGAGCTCCGGTGTGAGCAGGGCGAGTTCAGCCCTCGAACCTGTTACACAGTCTCTACAATTTGTGTGAATGTGTGTGTGTGTGTGTGTCTTTGGCTGTTTGTCGCTGGTGCGCGTATGCATTGCGCAGCCTGAGGTCTTGTCGGATCACAGCTCGGGGAGCTCAGTTCGATGCACTGGACCGGATGGTGCTGCTGAAGGACATCTCCCTTCTGCCTGGCGGTGTTCTGGGAGCATCTTTGTTGTGAGCAGGATGGCGTCGGCCACTACTGTGGAATGGCACCTGCCTGGAGAGTTGGAAGGGAAGCTATCGTTGGGGTTTCGCACAGATAAGGGTACATCTGAGGTGAACGCTGGACAGTACCCTTCTTGGGCACTTGCCATGACTCCGGAGAACATTCAACCGGATGCCCGGGCTTCAGTGCTCTGAGTTCTAAGCCCACGGCTGTCCATGAAAACGCCCCCAGGCCATCATTCCAGACCTCTGGGCTGCGACATGGATCATTAGCAGCGTCCGCCGCAGCCCCTGGCATTTTTCAGACTCTGTTCTGACGCCATGCAGGGAAATGTGAATGCGAACAGCGGTTTGGTCGGCCTAGGTGAGCCGGGCACGTACCGGATCTGCTATTGCGCCTACATCATAGGCCATCCGGCCTTCGTGGCAGTGTGAGTCTTGCATCCTGCCTCCCTTGCTCGCTCGTGCTCTCGCTGACTCTCGCTCTCTCTGTCTCTCTCTCTCTTGCTTGCTTGCT